GTACCTCAGAATTTCGGGTCCTGGACTGTTTAGGATCATCCCAAGGATCTTGTTCTGGAGTTTTTATGTGTTCCACACATTAATTGTTGCAACGTGATCAACAAATCAATATCCATGTGTCGTCCACATACGTAATATATATATAAATATAAAAACCAGAAAACCATGCGTGACCACACATACTATTCATTTGCGTATAAATGTCATGTGTACTTCTGAGTGGATTCTGTTTATGTGTGGTCAAATGAAAATCATGTGGAATTTCACATTAATATATTTATCAAGAAAAATGTTTAAATTGTTTTGAGTAATCCATAACCGAAACATTGAAATACTTGAAAATTTTAAGATAAAGTATAATAGTCAAAAATGCATGAAAAACATCAATTTTGTGTGGTTCTTCGTCATACTGCGGTCGTTTCAAGGACACAACCCTTTATTTTTTTTTAAATAACTTTGGTTGCTGGCTCTTCAACTTATTTGAAAACAAAATGACTTAAAACAAGCTACAAATGAATAATCCAAACAAAACAGAGCTCAGCTGGAATGGCTCCAATAGGAAATCCATCCAACTGAGATGTCCCGACGGCCGAAAGAAATTCCTGCTATACCAAGTTGTAGATTTTGGCTTCTTTTAAGAAGGTTACTAGTGCTGCCGAGGCCGAAGTATCATTCCCGAGCAGATCGCTGATGCTGGAAGTTAGGCAGAGTGACTCCCGAAGGTTTTGGAACTCCGGGCAGTTGCACAGGATATATTCTACGGTGTAGGGTACCCCCACAGATGATGCAGCTTCTGCGGAACGGCAGGCCACCATAGTTATAGTAGAGTTTGGTGTGCCCGGTTCGAAGCCGCGAAATCACGCGTTGATCCCTCAGGTTGTTCAGTTCGCTCCATGGTTCAGTTGACCCTTTGACTTTGCGGATGAAGGCAGTTCTGTTGCGGAACCACTCGGCTTCCCATGCCACTTGAATGGTCCCAATGATCCACCGTCTGATGTCCTGTAGGGGTACCTTGTGGGTGAGTCTGGGACTCGATGTCCCGGCTCCGGCAAGGTGATCAGCAGACTCGTTACCTGGCACTCCGCAGTGTCCGAGGATTGCATGTGTACACGGTGTTCGGTGGGACGTACTTGATAATCGCCTGGATCCATGGGTGTTTTGGTGCTTCCTGTCGGAGATGGCAACACGTCTACTGTTCTATTCACCTTGCTACAATCATCCGTACGTTTTTCAGTGGGCGACTGCCAAACTCACCAAACTAAAACGAACGCGCACACCGGAATGGCGCGAAGCACATTTTTCTTTTCATTACCGTTCAGTACTTTGTACATTTAACACGCGAATTAAACCTTTCTTTTCTAACTATGAGTTCTTGGTGTTTTATTGTCGGTGATCCCTTTTCCGATCTTTCTCGTGTCGTTCGCTTTGCGTGGAGTGGTTCTGCCCACACTTCCGAGGTGATCGCCAGAACGACGCTGTGTGAGTTGGTTTATATAAGTATCGGTTGTGTGACAAGTCAACAATAATAACAAAACGGTCGAAGCGTGCCGCTAATGAGCGCTATGCAACCCCGCCCATAAGGATTATACACAGGTGTGTAACTTCGATAGTATTTTATGGCAGCGGCTTGAGGAGCGAATCCTGGATAAAGAGCCGCCGTGTGTTAAATAAATGGGCGCAGACGTAACATAGAGGTAACTCTAAAACCAGAAGGTCACGCAGAAACGTGCTAAACTTTTTGGCTCAGCTCTGGTACTATCATAGAGGTAACTCTAAGACCAGAAGGTCCCGAAATAACGTGCTCAACTTTTTGGCTCAGCTCTACTACTCTCTTCCGTCCCAAGCTAATCGATTCGCCCCTCGAAACATAGGAAAATCCACTAACCCCTTATTTTATCTGTCAAACTTTCACAACGAATCAAAACAAACATTGTTTAGTACTAGAATTTCGACTAGAATGGGGCACGTCTTCTTGATATGGTGCCTTCGATAAAATTCACACATTAAAAGGATGTGTTTCACAATAATCTATGTTGGACCCAAATTTGATATACTATAGCCACAAACGAAGTGACAGATGGAGCGGCTCGAAAACTTTGGTGACGAACCTGCTATTACATTTTTTCAGTGTACCACATGGCAACACCACTACCAACAATCAATACGAAACTATCTATTTTAAATTGGCTCACTACTTGTCTAGCCTATTGGTCCCAAGCAAATCGATTAACGTACCCCATTCTAGTCGAAATTCTAGTACTACACAATGTTTGTTTTGATTAGCTATGAAAGTTTGACAGTTTAAACGAGATATTAGTGGATTTTTCTATGTTTCGAGGGGTGCATCGATTAGCTTGGGACCGATGAGAGTACCAGAGCTGAGCCAAAAAGTTGAGCTCGTTTCTTTGGGACTTCTGGTCTTAGAGTTACCTCTATGCCACAAGTACTGGATTGTACTAGCATTTTCACCAAATGTATTAGAATATCTTGGTTCTATCTCTTTCACTGTACTCAAAACTGAAATGCACAGAAAAAATGACAAAATGATACACTCTTTGCACGCTGTCAAAGATCAAAGCACAAAAAATCAACTTTGTTCAAATCAAAACAAAAATACTAGCCCATCTGGTGCATGATGGCACAAACTGCTAAGAAAATTCTATTACAGCAAACCACATTATTTTAATAGCGCCCGTCATAAGTAACATAAAAGTGAAGCACTTCTAGCGAACTAGTTCCAAATTAAAGCCGACTCCAATGGCACAGAGAGGTTGGTCTATCTCAATACCGGTGGAAACTAATGTTTTAAAATTGGCTCACTACTTGACTAGCCTGTTGGTCCCAAGTACATCTATAAGCGTACTCCATTCTAGTCGAAATTCTGTTGCTACACTATGTTTGTTTTGATTCGCATGAAAGTTTGACAGATAGAATGAGAGGTTCGTGGATTTCTGGGGGGGACGTGCTGTCAAATCAGCCTACTGATCATTCTTGTATGAAACTGGCTCCAAACGTAAACAATCGCTGTAGGTTTCTTATGGCTTGTTTACCTTTGGAACCAGTTATGCGAGGCATGCGAGATAGGCGACGATTGTTCGTATTTGACAGCCACCTCCCCCTCCCTTGGTGGATTTTCCTATGTTTCGAGGGGTGCATCGATTAGCTTGGAACCAAAGAGAGTACCAGAACTGAGCCAAAAAGTGGAGCACTTTTTTTTTTGGACCTTCTGGTTTTAGAGTTATCTGTATGACGATCCCATATCCATCCGAGACAATGTTGATGTTCTAATTCTAAATTATATCTTATATCACAGTTCCAACAGTTTTCAAAAAACCGTGGTTTTTTTCACAGTTTCATGGATGGACCACTATAACGGAGGACGGTCCAATGACAATCTAGGTCCATGTTTATGTCACGACTCCAAATTCTTTCATAAATCACAGTTCAAAGTGTTTTCGAAAAACAAAACAAAATGTGTAGCTCTAGAATCAGAATCATGGATGGACCACTTTTACGGACGTTACGGATATTCCGGAGAACGATCCCATGGTCATTCGGGTCCATGTTTATGTGACGACTCCAAATTCTTTCTTATAGCACAGTTCCTAATGTTAAAAAAAACCGCGAAATCAGTTTCATGAATTGAGCACTTTTACGGATGATCCGGATCTTCAGGAGGACGATCCCATGGCCATCCGAGTTCATGTTTATGTCATGACCCCAAGTTCTTTCTTATATTACAGTTCCAAGTATTTTTGAAATTCCATATTCTTTCTTATATCATAGTTCCTAATGTTTTCGAAAAAACCGCGGAGCTCTAGGATCAGTTTCGTGGATTGACTACTTTTACGGATGTTTCAGATCTTTTGGAGGACCGTTTCATTGTCTCCATGTAGTTCTACAAAATTATCTGCATTTCTCATCTCATTCTCAGCTCATCATAGTTCACTGGTTTTCTATTCGGCTGAGCTTTTACAAAGCTAGCTGATCTCCTATGTAATTAGTTGCACCTCTAGAAAGTTTCCAGTTCACTGCAGTTCTAATAAGTTTTCACAAGTTCTATAAAATTTATGAAGATGTATGAAGTTCCATGATATTCTCTAACATTTCCTACGAATTGCCATTGACTTCTAAGACGGTCCCAACAAAGAATAAATTTTATAATTCTGAAATAGAGTTTTTTCCACCCGCATATTTTAAAAGTAGAAGTGTAATATGTGAAGACATTTACTACCGATAGTTTGTGTCTAGGTCCATGGTCCCCTCCAGCCGAAGATCCTATTTACGCCGATGCAAATAGCACACGTTTCATTGTAGTTCAAAGCAACGATGAGTCGATAAATATAAGTTCAAATGAAACCTTCCTTGTCGCCAGTCAGGTGGTTCTGATCCGAATGCTAAGAAATTACGTGCAGCATTGAGTAGAAGGTCATATTGCATCTCAAATAATCAAAGAAGAAAAGCAAAAATGATTTTCTGAATCCATTCCAAAACTCACAGCACTCATTTCAGAATATTCCAACCAATCATACGGACGGCAAAACTGTTGTTCATCACGAGCCACTGAATAATGATGATTTGCTTTCCATCCCCTCACAGCCCATCCCACCGCCTAGAGCAAAACTGGAAATTCCTGCTACCGGCAAAGTGAAATCACACCGCACAATCCGGCTCTTGGAACTGCATTAACGTGACTTTTGTTGACTTGTGCCGTTCGCACCGAATACCCACCACTATCGGCTACAAGATCGCCGTACCGAGCTCTAATCAACTATGCGTCACAACCGCACTTTCCCGAACAGTTGGACCCGACTTGACTTGGTAGTAAAACTAGCCGGCAGGCAATCAAGGAAGTCAGTGATCTTGGTCACGCAACCCGACTCCGTCTCCGACGAACCCATTGACTATCGCCCGACAATAGGATAATGCGTTGCACATGGTGGTGTGCGCTGGTGGGTGACATATCTCTTGCGACAGACAACAACTCCTCCGGTGGGGTGCGTTTAATAGAATAAATTCAATTTATTTCACAGGTTACACAAACACTTTATCCGCGCAAATTGCTCGACAATAGAATTAAATTAAAAAATCACACTTGATCTGGACACGGCTGGAAGCAGTAGAGACGTGAATGCAATTTGAACAGGTTTCGGTCTCTCCCTCGCTTTCGACCCGTTTCCGTCTTAGAACGTGTTTCGACACTTCCCGTTGATTGCGGTCTGGCCTTTCGGACAAGCTACTGGCCCATCCAGAATGAATCGGTCGTCAAGGTTCGTCTTTTCGGAAGTGCTTGACGGCACATTGGGTGTGAAATCGGTGGCCACATCCTCATCGCCAATGAAGATCAGTCGGTCATCATCAGTCGATTCTTCGTCGTTGGGTTCGATTCGCACTACCTTAGCTGTAGTGCTAGATGCGGCGGTCGGTGCTGCAGAATTGGTTCCAAGCGATTTCGTTGATTCGACTTTCGTTTCAACCGGGGACGTAGAGGTCAATGCATCGGAAATGTTAGTTGAAGGACTGCCTGGAGTCGCCACCGCATCTCCGGTTCCGCTAAACTTGTCTTTCACGTAGTCATATCCTCGCATGACACCATCCTTGACCGAGGTTGCCGCGCTTTCGAAACTCTCCTTGACCTTAGCCGTGCCTTGCTTGAAGGCCGAGGAAAAATCGTCGAAGAATTTGGACACCTTACTTTCCTCCTCGGGGGCTACCGTACTGGAGCTACCACTATCCACCGAGGTCGGAACCGGTGACTGGGATGGGAGTTCCGCCAAAGGAACACCTTCGGGTCTCGCTTGTGTTGACACGATCGCAAACAGAAGCAGAATTGCTCCACCAAGCATCACTTTCCGGTTCATTTTTCGACAACTTTGTAACTTGATTCGATTGAATTCACACGAGTCACATGAAAATCAAAACAACAACTAAGCTAGAGGTGATAATCAGCAGCGACAGCGGGCGACGACGATCTACTCACCGCAAACGTACGGCAACGAATGAGAGAGGTGGCTGATCGTGATCTTCAAATTTCAGCGCACGCTCTCGCGGATGGATGGAAACAACGACGGTCGATGATGATGATGATGATAAATAAATAAATTAATAAATAAAGATGCTGATGATGATGAGCGTGATCACAGCAGCAACAACAACAATCACAGAACAATAATATTGAATATAATAATATTCAATTCAATAGATCACACTAGATGGGACGAAATCTGAGATAGGGGTTCAATGTCTCGTTTTGCATTCTGCATTCTACCCCAGAATCCCCTTTCGTTCGGAAGTTAATGCAATTGATAGTACGTACCGGATTGCTGTTTGAAATCAGCTTTGTTTTGCAAAACCGTTTCTGGCAACATGTCCAGGATCAACACTTATCTTCTGAAGGTCAGGCTTTGAAGAGGTAGAGCATTGGCGTAGATATGGTTACACTTAAAGCGGTTGGAATTTTCCAGTGATGTCTGCTCTCGTCTTCGTGTTCTGTGAAGCACTTCCTCGGGATCCTGCTATCTGGATTGGCATCATTATTTCAAATATGTCCAGTAATCAGATTGAAAATAAATGACCCACTTTTGGAAGCCCCTCAGCGCATCCGACTTTTATCTTTCATTTATTTCACATAAGGGGCGGATCATAAACTACGTAGACAGTTTATTTTTTGTATGGACAATTGTCTACGTAGGGGGAGGGGGGTCAAGAATCCCAAAAAAAGCCATCTACGTAGCTAATGAACAGCCCCTAATAGGAATACGATCCAGAATGAACTGCAAAATCTGAAATCGTTGCCTTAAGTGCTATTTTTACAATGTTGTCTTTGTTATGATAGATCAAATGTTTTCCGTAGATGAAAAGACCATTGTAACTCAAGAATGTTTTTTTTTTAAAAAGAACCTATATGTTTTTGTGCATACATTGCATAGCATGAGCATGAGCATGATTGACCGCCCACGGTTGCTACTCTGTTATTGCCAGATCAGCTGTAATTACACAGAGAACCAATAGACAAAGCTTGAGACTAGCAATCATCCTCAATTTGTAAAAACTGGTGATCTCAAACTAGGCAATACCAGCGCCGGCCGTGCCCGAACGCAGGTCAAGGAAGGAATGGGTAGAAATGTGTTGAAGTGACACTCGCTTTGATAGAAACCGAGAAATCCTCTGCACTTCCACAAGGAATCACTGGGATGTTGGGTAAGAGGGTAGGGTTTGCAGCAGGGTTCGTTTTGGTAGACCATAAGCTGAATTGATGTCCTACCCACAGACAAACAGACATAACACTCATAACTTGTTCATCGAACAAGCATTTAACGGTCAATTTGAAAGTATCTCAGTTGGTAGTACTGCCACCTTTGGCGCGCATCGAGGGGACGACTCTATCTACGATGCAGAAAATATTGTGTTCTGCTGTGGCTAGCGGCGCGTACGCTGAGTTGATAGAAAGGAGATTTATTACGATTTTGAAGAATTCCTGCAAAAAGATGATGCGTGATGCAAATAGATGCGAAAAATGAAAGAAGATTTTTCGAAGATTTATTCGCTAGTGTGAGATTTTTTGAGCATCTAGAATCGAGATTTATAGTATATAGATAGTAAATTCCCTTGCGTTCTGTCCAACAAACGCCGTTAACCTAGTGCGAAAAGCCAGTCACGAGTGTATGCCATGCTTCAGAGTAAAGTCCAATATTCAGGTCTGGATTACTGCTGCCCGTTCCAAGTGTCGTATCCGTACCGTCGCAATCGCCCGGTGAAAATCTGCGTCGCCGTCTACGTCTGTCTAGTAACCAAGGCGGTCCACCTAGAACTAGCGCCCACCCATCTCTTGCCGGCCAGGCAAGCCGGAGATCATAATATGCGACAATTGGGTTCTTTAAGGGTATTGAGGTAAATGCATATTCGTTATCTGCATTAAAAATGGAACCGAAACCCAAAATTTCATCAATTTCGGTATACTGGAACTATTTTAAGTATGTACGGTTACATTTGCAAAAATCACCTCATTAGCGCCCCTTGGTGTCACTTTGTATGGGAGCGATTAGAGTCGGTGTATAATGAGTCACGCCAAGAGTGAAGCCAAGTCTACCTATTGAACTGTCAAACCGGCTACCTATCGTGCAGAGTAAACAAACATTACGATGCTATGAAAGGTCCACGGAAGGTATTTTTTTTTTCATAATTCGTTTATTTTTCCAGGCTCATTTGCTGTAGCTTTGCGGAGCCGATATTCATTGTTTAAATAACAAAATTACTTAAAACTAACGTTAGTAAAGCGGAGGCCGATTACTCGCGGCTATCTCGAGGTTAGGGGTAACAAATTGTAACAAATGGATGGCAGGGTAGGGATTGTGAACACAAGGTTTGGAGAGCAATGTGCTCTTGATCTCGAACTAGGCGACACTCTGATGAAAAAGACAAACATGGGGGAACACCGATGGGCAACTAGACGGAAGGTATTGCAATAAAATATAAAATATAATCGAAGAAATGATCATAAACTCGCAGTGCGCAATAAATTGTCATGGGATACGTTTGGTAATGATCACTTATGATAATTTCTACTATTTTTGGTTGAGATAATTTGACTAAATCACTGATATAATGATTTACTACAGCCGCTATTTTTTTCTCGCTAGAAGTCATTTGAAGTTGATGTAGAAGTCCTCTGTTGCCAAGTGAAAAGAAAGGGAATCTTTCGAAAACCGTGATGCGAGTTTAACTGTTTTTCTCTTGGCGTGACTCATTATACACCGACTCTAGGAGCGAGCTGTCAGTTTGTCAGTTTAGTGTCAAACAGTGAAGTTATTATTTTGCTTTAAATCTTGATTTAAAAATCAAGATGAATGTATGTGGGTTCGAAAAAAATATCGCTGGGCTCAGAACCGATATATTTTTCAAAATTAAAGAACCTAATTGGCGTTGACGAGAGCTCTGTAGCTCTTTACTCCAATGGAGAAATCTCATATGTAACTGTCAGTCTATGTGTGAAACATGGCGGACTTTTTCTTATTCTCTCACTCCAACGCAAAACCCCATAAGGAACTGTCAAAATGTGTGTGAAGAAACGTCACTTAAGGACTGGTGTCAAGGCGAATGGTAGAAACTTCGTCGGTGTGAGAGGACAGTTGGACGAATTACGTCACCTGTTTAACAACCAGATACGGGGAAGTTCCTGTTTAACAACCAAATTTCTGAGGGCTATGGAAGTCGGCAGTCATGTCGCTCAAACTGCCTTGCAAGCGAACGATCGAATGTTAAATTCGCAACCACTCACACCTCTCAGTAACGACCTGGACGTTTGCGAGGCGTTGACTCCCGGTCATTTATTTTTTTTAATTCAGCGACCCTAACTGCGATTCCGGAACCCCATCCAGACGGGATCTTCTCAACGTGGCAGAAATCGCAGCGATTCAAGCAACAGCCGTGGAAAAAGTGATCGCAGCTGTACCTAACGGACCTCCACAATAGGACGAAGTGGACAGTAAGAAGAAACAACGTGGTAGTTGGACCGATTCGAGATAACGTCAGACAGACAGACAGACAGACAGACAGACAGACAGACAGACAGACAGACAGACAGACAGACAGACAGACAGACAGACAGACAGACAGACAGACAGACAGACAGACAGACAGACAGACAGACAGACAGACAGACAGACAGACAGACAGACAGACAGACAGACAGACAGACAGACAGACAGACAGACAGACAGACAGACAGACAGACAGACAGACAGACAGACAGACAGACAGACAGACAGACAGACAGACAGACAGACAGACAGACAGACAGACAGACAGACAGACAGACAGACAGACAGACAGACAGACAGACAGACAGACAGACAGACAGACAGACAGACAGACAGACAGACAGACAGACAGACAGACAGACAGACAGACAGACAGACAGACAGACAGACAGACAGACAGACAGACAGACAGACAGACAGACAGACAGACAGACAGACAGACAGACAGACAGACAGACAGACAGACAGACAGACAGACAGACAGACAGACAGACAGACAGACAGACAGACAGACAGACAGACAGACAGACAGACAGACAGACAGACAGACAGACAGACAGACAGACAGACAGACAGACAGACAGACAGACAGACAGACAGACAGACAGACAGACAGACAGACAGACAGACAGACAGACAGACAGACAGACAGACAGACAGACAGACAGACAGACAGACAGACAGACAGACAGACAGACAGACAGACAGACAGACAGACAGACAGACAGACAGACAGACAGACAGACAGACAGACAGACAGACAGACAGACAGACAGACAGACAGACAGACAGACAGACAGACAGACAGACAGACAGACAGACAGACAGACAGACAGACAGACAGACAGACAGACAGACAGACAGACAGACAGACAGACAGACAGACAGACAGACAGACAGACAGACAGACAGACAGACAGACAGACAGACAGACAGACAGACAGACAGACAGACAGACAGACAGACAGACAGACAGACAGACAGACAGACAGACAGACAGACAGACAGACAGACAGACAGACAGACAGACAGACAGACAGACAGACAGACAGACAGACAGACAGACAGACAGACAGACAGACAGACAGACAGACAGACAGACAGACAGACAGACAGACAGACAGACAGACAGACAGACAGACAGACAGACAGACAGACAGACAGACAGACAGACAGACAGACAGACAGACAGACAGACAGACAGACAGACAGACAGACAGACAGACAGACAGACAGACAGACAGACAGACAGACAGACAGACAGACAGACAGACAGACAGACAGACAGACAGACAGACAGACAGACAGACAGACAGACAGACAGACAGACAGACAGACAGACAGACAGACAGACAGACAGACAGACAGACAGACAGACAGACAGACAGACAGACAGACAGACAGACAGACAGACAGACAGACAGACAGACAGACAGACAGACAGACAGACAGACAG